CCCCCCACCTTACAGACTGAGCTAAGTACCTTGGAACAGTCAGGTCAAGTTGACTCTAGCAGGCAGTTCCACTGGTTTGATGAGAAAGCCGAAGGACACAGTTATGAGCAGAGACCTTTTATTTTTCCCCCAGCTGTGACAGTGTAAACATACATAAAATACATATTAAAGTTTAAATGCTTTATATTTTGTGCAATAAATTGAAGCCTTAAACAGAAAACATGTCATTAAAAAAAAAAGAAAGAAATTCATTAGTTAAGACAGTAAAATAGCAGCAAGTACCAAGACATTGTGCACTTCTTTTATGTAAGACAGTTGCTTCATTTATATCAGAATCAGAATTGTAAGACTGGCTTTCTTGAATACTTAATACAGCTTGATTCACTGGTTAGATAGGGGTGTATTTCCCAACTCCACATCAGGGAGGAGTTCCGTGCAGCCCTTCAGACAGCCAGCACGAGCACAGCGTTGAGCAGCACGAGAAATGGAGTATTGACTTTCCACACGCTTGCCACAGAAGGTGAGTGGGCCTTTACATTGGTGGTTGTCTCTTCCCTTCGTAGGGTGAGGGTTGTGCTTTGTTGAGGCATTTCCGAGAAATTATTTGGCGTGCCACTAGTGATACTTAGGGTCATGGGTGTTGGCACTGATTTCATCGAGCTAGTGAGGCTTGTGTTTGTCACCATGCCATTTTGGAGATGAATGGTCAGTGTTGCAGCTGCTGCTTCGTGCAATTTGATGGTTTCTGCAGATGTGCCTTCTGGATAGGGCACAAAAGCCTTGTCCGGGCTGGTGAAGGCGGTGTCTCTGCCTTGGGTGGCCCCAAATGTGGTTTCCTTCGTTCGATACTGTTTGGGGATTTTGGTCACTTTGGGTTGAGTTATACTCAGAGAGTTAACGGTGTCCACGGTCTGCAGCCCACTGCCAGTGAACAAGCTTGAAGTAACTCCCGGAGGTGTAGGGTACATGCTATGTTCCTTTAGAGATGATATTTGGCTAGAACAGGGAGTGCCTATCACATGGGCTTTTGTTTCCATCACCCACTTTAATAAGTAAGTAATATTTTGTTTGTGATCACATGACCACCTATTGTTGTATAGGGTTATCTCATGCAACTGCAAGAGTTGATCAAAAGCTTCCTCTGGAATGGCTGTGAACTTATTGTTGTGCAGGTAAAGGTGTGTGAGACTTGTAAGGTTTATTAGTGTTCCTGGGAGGATTTGGGTCAAGGAATTGTTCGACAGGTCCACGATAAGTAGTTTGGAAGGCATATTGGTTGGAACTGTCCAAAGTTTGTTACTACTGAGGTTGAGAACCTCGAGACTTCTTAGTGTATTTTTAATGAGGACAACCTTTTCCAGCATATTCATAGACACATCCAGATATTTAAGGTTCCACTGATAGGCAGTGTCAGATTTGTCAAGAAGTTTAATGTTGTTGTTAGCAGCAGACATGTTCCAGAGGGACCGGGGCAACCGAGCAGGCAGCCTTTCCAGCCTGTTGTTGGAAATGTCTAGGGTCCTCAGATTGGTGTATTGAGTTAACTGGTTATGCAGATCAGTAAACTTGTTATAAGACAGGTTTAAATGTATAATATTTTCTTGGAGTCCAGATGGTAGTGTAGTCAAGTTTCTGCCTGAACAGTCCACATGCCTATGCCTCTCTGTGCACATACACTGGAGAGGGCAAATGCTTAAAATACCAGGCGTGAGAACCAGAAGGATGAACAGGCAGGGAGACATTTTCAATATCTGATATTCCATCAGAGCCTGGAAATAAACAGATACACCCTTCTTTTAATATGCAAATACAATGTGGGCATCTGCATGGGTCAATTAGCATTAGGCAAAAATTTCAATAAACCTCGTTGTTGAGCCCTTTTATAATTGTTCCAGTGATTAAACTAACAAAGCTCCCCTTCATTTATAGTCCAAATGCCTAGTCCTTCAATTGGGGCTGTGTGATAGAGAGACTCTTCCTCTACTCTCCTGCATATTTCACCCCTCTTCCACCTCCCCCCTCAATTTCCCCCTTTTTCTTATATGTCTTATTCATCTTCCCAGAGCTTTAATACTATAAAATAAAATGACCTTTTCTGAAAATACGAAGTTGGAGTCATAGCTATTACTATTTTTGATAATACCCTTTTTTAGATAGGAAAAATGGCTGTCGTGGCTCTGGTGTGGGTTGTTTTTTTCTTTTTTTAAATCTCTGCAGGTTCAATGTTGGGTGAAATTTTATTTATATATTAAAGCAGTACTTGGGAACTAAAGCATTGTCTTTTTAGGGTAAATATATCCTGTAAAACATTTGGAGGCAATGAAAATCCTACACCAACAGCCAACCTTTAAACCTCCCATTTTACCCAGTGCTGTTTCCTGTAGCATTCAGTGCCGATTCTAAAGAAAACCAATGTGCATATTTACCAAATGAAGGAATATCAAAAAAGAAATCCATCCACAGACACTGCAGCAAATTTCTGGTGCATGCACTTGCTATTGAATACATATTCAATCCTAACGTTCACTTTTAATTTAAAAAAAAAAGAAAGAAAGAAAATTCTGAAGTCTGTCTTTTACTGATTTTAAAGAACAGCTTACCATAGTGTCGTCTTCAACATCAGCTTCTCATTTCTCCGAGAAACTTAAAGCTTAGAGGTCGCCTTGCTCTGGAGAGTAGGAGCTGTTTCCGGCTGTGGGCTGTGCTTGCCTGCTCAGCTGCATTGTGTTGCTGTGAGCCGAAGCTCTGCAACCACCTGATCAGTACCACATAGGAGGACTGCAGCGCTGTCATTGGTGCTGACTCAAATTTATTGCAAGGGGTACACACGAAACAAAATGGACTTTTTTTTTAATGTAATTCATAGCGTTGAGGTTATCTGTGTATCTCAGATCTGCTATAGGATGTACATTAGCCCTGGCCCTTACTCTTATCTGTGCATTTGTCGGAGCTTGGGTTTCACTGCTGGTTCTTTTTAATGCCTCGACCCTTCATGTTGAAATGAATTTGCTCTTCCAGCTGGGGTAGTTTTCCAAGGGATTAGTGTTGTGTGTGTGTGTGTGTGTGTGTGTGTGTTTTCAAAAACTCCTGCCTTTTTATGTTCATTTCTAAAATGGCATAATTGTCATACGGTGACAGGCATCAGAATCCGATCGGTTTGATTTTCATGGACTCCCCCAACAGTGATGATGCCTAATCAGCTTTTCAAATGTATCAGCTACTTTCCTCTTCCCTTTTCAGAGGTACTTAAGTAGGGTTATTCTGTCTTCATCTCTATGATGAAGGAGCAAGAGTACACAAAGCTGGGCTACATTGTAAAACAGCCAGCCTGCCACATTTTAAACCAGCAGTTCATGTGGGGTGATAAACGTTTTATGTAATGACTTGGGTTTAAGGAGTTTTTCTTTAAGAAACTGTCTTTGGATGATAAGTGGGCATGATATGATTCTTGTTTTCCCCAGACATTTTTGATAATATGTGGATGGCCATGTGATCGATGTTTTAAAAGTAACAGAATCAATTGGGGGTCAGTCGGCCCCCGCCTCCTGCAGAGTGTTTCACATTTCATTTTTCTGCAAAAACATAAGTTTCCGAATGACACGAAATAATGCAAAAAGGAAAAGTAGTCATGAATTTCTTGAAATGAGATCAGGTTTATCATAGCTTCTGGTGCACTCTTTATTGGATTGATTGTGTAAATAATTTGTTGAAACTCACATCTGTTAATTTCCAGGTTACAAGTTATTTTAGAAAAGAAAACAAATAAAATTATAATACTTCCACAAACAAATTGTTACTGTTGAGAAAACAGCCATTATTAACACATTATGAATAAGAAAACTTCGTTTAAGCCAGGTAATGAAGTCTTGGGTTTTTCTCTAAATTTCATTTGCATTACATGAATTTTACTATAAGTAGAATTTAGTGTATTAAAATTTCAAGTGTATTTTAATAGAAAAGAAACTATATCCTAGAAGTTTCCTTTTGTGTAAATTTGATGTTCCTCGAAAAATTAGCTCCCACTTCAAAGCCTGTGATGCTAGAGACTTATTATGGATTGGGTACTTACTCTCACTTTACTTTGAGGGTTCAACCTTGTGTTCTCAATCAGATCTTTCTATGGATTTCAGAAACCAGTCATCAATCATAATGCTTAAAAGTGTTAAAAAATACTACGTTCAGCAAAATTACCCCTTTGACATATACATTTCTTATGTACTGTTTTATCTAGTGTATATGTTTTACACTTAAAGAAATGTGACTGACCCACTATGAGACACGACATCCCTCACTGACCCATAGCCTTAGAGGGGACAACACTGGAGACACAGTGTTGGAATTGTGCCCGATCTGATCCCACCACATCAAGGCAAAACACTAAGGGTGTGCAACAGAACAGCAAGGGGAACAGAGCAATGAAGTCCCCAGGGAATGCCAAAAATAGACTTTGGGGCCAGGGCTTCACACCCCATCAGACTAGACCAGAAAACACTCATAAATGCCAACAAACAGTCCTTGAACTAGCTACAAGCTTTTCTTTCTTATTGTTGTGTTTCGTTTTGTTTTTTGTCATTGGATGGTTGTTGTTTTATTTTCTTTTGTTACTTGGTTTTTCTTTGTCTTGTTTTTGTGCATGTTATTATCTCCGCAGGTCTGTCTAAATAAGATAGGCTGGATGAACAATCTAGAGGAGAAAACAATGGGGCTGACAGTTCGGGGAGACATGGGAGAGGGGGATGTGGGGGGAAAGGTAGTGGTGTTAACAAACCCAGGGACAAGGGAACAACAAGTCATCCATATCAGTGGTGAGGAGGGCGTAGGAGGCCTGATAGGGC